AGGTCTGTAGTTAGGAGCTAAACCGCTAAGGTATATATAAGCGCTAAGGAGATAACTACGTAGTATATTAGATAGGCTTTTTTTGTTGTTATACCTTACGTTAAGGCTATAGTATAGGTTAGGGCTAGTATCTACCTCTTTATCTTTCTCTTTAAGTGTTTTAAGTAAGCTCTTTATGTTAGCTTTAGGTCTAGGATAAGGCTAAGGATCTTAATTAACAGTTCTAGAGTAATCTCTATATTACTTAAGAAGAGGCCTGTGTTTAGGTTATGTTTTTATCCTTTACTTAGGTAGAGTAGATAGTATTTTGTTAGTTTAAAGACAGCCTTATGTCTATAGGCCTAGTTAGAACACACTTAGTAAATCTTTACTAGCCTTTAGTAATTCTCTTTTGTTATCTTGCCTTAGATAATAATGTTTATATTATTAACAAATCTAATAGTACTTTTCTCTTATAAGGTAGTATTATACTATTCTACTAGTTCTAAGTTATAAAACAGAAAGAAGATAAGGGATAGAAGAGAGCCTTATAGAATTCTAAAAGAGACTTTAAAGAAAGGGCTAGTATAGTTATTGATCCTAATTAAACTACTTCTTCTTAAGAGGAAGCCTTTAACTAGTTAGACTATCTACTCTAAGATCTCCTTTATACGTAAGATATAAAGAAGCCTTAAGTAAGATAAATTATTAAAGGCCTTAGCTATATCTAGGCTAAGAATCGACACTACTATTTTTAGGCTACTTTACTAAGCTTTATAGACCTGTTCTATAATTAGTTCTAGTACTATAGTTGTGTCTCTCTCTCTTTACGCCCTTATTTAGTATACTAGAAAGAGTTAGTAATCTTTTACTAGGTTAGTTAGTCTTATAGTAACTAGCTTCTCTAGAGTCTTTTTAAGGGTATTAAAGAGGGTAATTAGTCGATATAATTTTACTTAGTAGTAGTCTTTTCTTAGCTTTAAGATTATAATAGTTTAGGCTACCCTAAACTTTTCTAAGAAGTACCTAACTTAGGTATAGTAGTTAAAGAGGTAAGTATAGTGTTAGAGTAAGACTTTTATTAACATTTTAATAATCTCGTTTAGGATCTTATCTAGGCCTAAGGCCTTCTTATTCTTAAGCTTCTTAATTATAACGTAAACTTTATCTACTAGGAACTCTTATAAGTAGAATAGACTATCTTTATATTATCTCCTTCTTAGGTTAACCGGCCTGTCTTAAGGGTATTAGTATTTCGAGATGTCTAAAAGATTAGTATTAAGAGCTAAGGTAAAGAAAACGTCTTAGAAAGCTTTAGCCTTTTTCTTATAAGTATTAACTAAGGCCCTTTTACCTTAAGGGTAGAGGGTTAGGAACTATAGTAAGGGTCTAGGCAAGTAGCTTCTGTTTTTTACTTATTGTTTAAGTTACTATATTCCCCTTTTATACTAGCTAGCCTTATAGACTAAGGCCCTAAAGTAAAGGGTCTAGGCTTTTAAGATTACCTTCTTCTTTTCTCTTACTATTCTATACTACTCTCTTATTGTCTTTTCTAGAATTCTTTTACCTCTTCTTTAGTGTCTTCTTAGGTCTACTTGTCTTACTTTCTTTACTTACTTATTATACTCTTTATTCTAGAAGCTTTTAGACCTATCGCTTACCCTTTACTATAAGACCGCTACTTTAATAGCCTAATTTAAGGAGTCTATAAGTAGTTAGAGCTAGTTGTTAATATCCTCTAGAGTACGTAGCTTAGAGATTACTAGCGCTAAGCCTTATAGGATTTTAAAGAACTTTAGTTTGTTAGTTACTTTCTATTGTCTTTATAAGGGTAAGACGTAGCTTTTAGCCTTAAATCTAAGCTTTATAGTAATAAGGAAGTGATTAGACTAGAGGTCGTGTCCTAGCTTTACTTTATAAGAGCTAAGAAGATCTTTAAATTTGATTAGGATTAGGGCTAGGTTAATATAAGATTTGTAGTTTCTTCTTTCTTACGTTCGTTCTCTAACTAGTGTTATAATCCTAAGTAAAAAGTCTTATAGAATACTTATTACTTTGTCTAATATTCTCTCTAAGTCTTAAGAGGCTCTACTCTCTTATATAGAGTAATAAAGGTTAAAGTCCCTTACTACTATATACTTATAGCTTTAGTTATCTAGCTTTTCTTAAAGGGCTAGGAAAGTAGAGGGTCCTCTTAAGGTATACTTGTTAAGAAGAGAAGGGTTATAGATGTTTGTAACTTTAACTAGTGTTAGAGTACTTATAACGTTAACTTTAAGGCTAACTTAGTATAAGTCTAGGTAAGGGGTATTAAAGGTCTAAGTAGTCTAATTAATCCTTTTGTTTATATATATTACTACTCTTATACTCTCTACCTGTCTATAGATTAGTCTCTACTAGAGGCCTAGTAAGGTAGTTATAAAGTCGTGTCTATTATACTAGGGTTCTTAAATAGCTAGGATATCGTACTAGGCTAGAGAAGGGTCCTAGAGTAGCGTAATTATAACGTCCTTCTTTTTATTAACGTTATATTATAGTATATTAAATAAGTCCTAGTCTAATTCTATAGAGAGTCTTAGCTTATAAGTATTTTATTTGTTTAGGATTTTGTCTAGCTTAAGATAAGGACGACTAGAGTTATGTAGCTAGGTACTATAGAGGTTCTAAAGCTTAGTATTAAGAAAGGAAGAGGCTAAGAGTTAGAGCTATTAGTTTCTCTATTCTTTTTCTTCTTATTTAAGGAACTAGTAAGAGGGCTTATATCTCTTACTTAAGGGCTAAAGGTTTGTATATATTAGTATATAGCTCTCTCTTAGCCTATTAGAGTATTAACTCTTAGTCTTCTTATAGAGCGTTTTAGGTTACTTAGAGTAAGAGTAAGGGTTAGGCCTAGAGCTGCCCTAGTATTAATTAGATCTCCTTAACAATACTTACTAGGCCTTATAAAGGCTACTTACTTTACTTCTTTTAATTTTTTCTATAGTAATAAGTAGGCCGCCTAGTCTTAGGCCTAGTGTCCTCTCTTCTTATAGTTAGTATATCTTTATTTCTCTTTATTTTGTAAGTTTTAGTATATCTTTGTCTAGTAAGAGCTTACGTATATTCTATAAGTTTCTTGTTTTAAACATATAGTTAACTAGTAAGGTCTTATCTCCTAGTACTTAAAGTACTAGTTTAGGGACACTCTTAAGGAGTAAAGGGTATAGTAGTATAGTTTACTATCTACTATTAAGCCTTCTTTAATTACCTTTTCTACGTGTTTAAAGTCTAAGATACTTAAGATAAAGGACGTCTACTACTTCTCTTAGGCGCGTGTCTTAACTAGCTAGAACAACTTAATGATTTAGATCTTTAGGTTTAATACTTAGATAGCCTAGATCTATTCCTTTCTCTCTAGAGAATCCTCTTTAAGGCCTACTCTCTTAACCTTAATATTATATATAATTATTAGTAGTGTAGTCTAGAACACCTCTACTTTACTAAAGGTTAACGTTACTTAGCCTTAATCTCTTTATATTTGCTTTATACTCTCTAAATCCTTTGTATAAAGCGTATAGCCTTTGTTTCTATACCTATAAACAGCCTATACTAGGGCGCCTAGAAGGGCTACATTAATCTTATCCTTTATTGTCTTATAATTAATGTTTTTAAACCTCTTTATATCTTTTATAAAGAGCTTAACTCTAATCCTCTTCTTAATCTCTATAACGTCCTTATACCTAAACGTTTAGGTTAAGGGGCTACTAGTCGCTAGGTAGGCTTAGAGCGCTCCTCTTCTAGCTATTACTACGTACGTTAGTCGGCCTTACGTACTAAGGTTCGTGACTTTAGTTTTAATGTTCTTAATTAAAGAGGCTATTCGTTAGGCCTATTCTAGGGCCTTAGCGTTATCGTTACTCGCGTATAGAGTTTTTACAACGCGTTTGATTTTGTCGACTAACTTTTTAATACTTAGTATCGCTAAAGAGTGTCTAGTACTAGAGGCCTGCCTATCGGCCTATAATATTACTTTATAAATTTCTATAGTAATACTAAGTAATTATCGGCCTAGGTAGATTCTAGGTCCTTCTAGCTTATTTCGACTGTCCCTAGTAGGTTCTCTTAAGGGCACTAGTAGGTACGCTATTATACGACGATAGAAGTCGAAGAGGGTACTTAAAGGAGTGTTTTAAGGTCCTTTTAATAGGTGTAGTAGCTGTTGTTTTCTAAAAATGCCGCTCCTTAAGGGGGAGATGTTTTTTCTAAAACAGACTATACCGCTCCGGTAAGGTACAAAAGGTCGACATGCTTAAGCGAGGTCGATGGCCGGCCTAAATTTTAAGGCTACACAGAGAGCTTACCTTGTAGGTAGCGACAGCGACGACGACGACGATGATGATGATGATGATGATGCTGCTGCTGCTGCTGCTGACCCGGGCTGTGAAGGGGAAGCGAAGTGAAATAGCACGGGCGCGGGCATGGAATGGCACGGCACGGCACGGCGCGGGGAGGCGCAAGCAGTAGAGGACAGATGTAGGACCGACCTATCGATACTGTTGTTATCTGTATCAGTCCCCTGCGTTGGAATCCTGTCGTTCGATCTGAAGGCTGAAGCTTACAGCGGCTGTTTCAAAACGAAACAAGACCAAGACCTCGGACAAGGATGCATGTAGGCATGTAGTGATATATATATATATATACTCTGAAGTAAGGCATGATGAGAAAAGGCAAGGCGAGGCAAGGCAAGGTATCCTGTACATGGTAGTAGTACTATGCCGTCATTCCAGCCAGGCTCACAATGCGTTGCCAGAATCCTGTTTCTCTCGTCGTTCCCCTCCTTACCTCGAGATCTATTATCTCTTCCCCAGTTTGCCTACTATGTATATTAGAGCTCCTCTGCATTGCCACTGCACTGCCCTCCCTACTGCTGTGCCCGAGTGGATTGTGTTGTGTGTATATGTATGTTCCGTAGCTACGTAGTAGGCACAACTCCGTACGTCCCATCCCCACATACACATACACATACACATACAACATACATCCTATCCACCTACTCGTCCCTCATATCTCTCCATCACCTGCAATCAGAGAACTTCCCTCTAGGATGCTGTAGTATATCCCTCTATACTTTGCCTACTACTTGCCTACTTGCCTGCCCACTTCACATTCAGATCCCTTCTCCCCACCGCTTCCGTCCTCTCTCCTGCTGCCTCGCGCACCGAGATGAGTGATCTCTGACCCCGTCCCAGCCCCCTCGAGACATACTAACTGATCTTCGGGATACAGTCTTCTGCTAGCCTCTTGACGTCTCCGCCAAACCCTCGTTTGTACCTACCTTCCTGTACCGCTACAGTCCCCCCAACAACAAACATACTGCGTGCATAACCCTCTCTCAATCCCACCCCTCAGCTGGTAGTGAGCAATCACATATCGCCCCGCACAATGGTGAAAATCGACCACCACGAGTATCTGTCCGAAGAGGAGAAACGGCTCAAGGAGGATCGGGAACGCGTTAAATACTGGAAGAAGTGGGGCCCCTACGTCGCCGAGCGACAATGGGCTACAGGTACATCTCGTGTGTTGGTGTAATTGACTCATTGGAGAGCTGATAATATGTTTGTCTACCAGTCCGCGAGGATTACAGTGCCGATGGTGATGCCTGGAGCCGTGAGTCCTTCAACAGATTGCTATTTAGTCCGCGCAGACATATGCTAACTGTCTCCACAGATTTCCCGCACGCACATGCCAGATCGAGAGCTTTCCGGTGGGGAGAAGATGGCATCGCCGGCGTCTGTGATACACACGGCTTCCAAAATATCGCATTTGCTTTTTGGAACGGGGAAGAGTTAGTGCCGCTCTGAGAGAGCACCCCATTGCACTGCACCTCTGACCTTTCCGCAGTGACTTCCTCAAAGAAAGGCTGTTCGGGTTATCGAATCCGCAGGGTAATCATGGCGAAAGTATCAAAGAGGCACATTTCCATGTCGATAATACACCTACCGTCCGTTGAACAAATCCCCGCCCCTGTTCACACCCCTATTGACCCTCTTCTAGCATTCGTATATGAAGCTGTTATACAAATATCCCCAACGGAAATTCCCGTACGAGGACTTGATCAAGGAGAATGCCGCTCGAGGGAAGCAGGACCGGGAATACCAAATTATCGACACGGGGATATTCGATGAGAACCGCTACTGGGACATCGTGATCGAGACAGCGAAGGAAGCAAACGACCCAGAAGAACTACTTTTTCGCGTTACGGCGTGGAATAGAGGCCCAGAGCCTGCTCCTCTACATATTATTCCCCACGTGTGGTTCAGGAACTGCTGGGCATGGGGTCACGAGTCCGCGGACAAGAAGCCATCCATAACCCAGCTTAGCGAGACCGTTGCACAAAGCAAACACTACAAATTGGGAGAGCGATACTTCCAACTCTCCCCCTCTCCTGGGGTTGGACCAAGCGGGCAAGATGTTCAGCCGGAGCTGATCTTTACGGAGAACGACACTAATTTTGAGCTGCTCTATAACGGTAAAAACGAGCAACCGTACGTCAAGGATGCTTTTCATCGCTACATTGTGGACAAGGAGAAGGCGGCGATCAATCCCGAGAAGACAGGCACAAAGTCAGCTGCATGGTTCGCTTTCGATGAGGGCGGCGGAGTTGCTCCAGGGGAGTGTGCTGTGGTACGATTTCGGTTGTCAAAGAAGTATGAAGCGTACCTTGATGAAGAAGAGTTTGACGAGATCATTGACAAACGGAAGGAGGAAGCAGATGATTTCTACTACCGTATCAGCCCCCTGCCCATGACAGAAGACTTGCGTAATATCCAGCGGCAGGCCTTCGCAGGCATGATGTGGACGAAACAGTTCTATCATTTTATTTGGGACCAATGGGCGAATGGGGATCCAAACCAGCCCCCTCCACCTGCAGAACGCAAGTCCGTCCGAAATACGCACTGGAAGCATATGTATCTTGATGATATCCTTTCGATGCCAGATTCGTGGGAGTACCCGTTCTTCGCCGCTTGGGACTCTGCATTCCACTGCATACCTTTGGCCATGATCGACCCGGACTTTGCAAAGAAGCAGCTTGATCTATTCACGAGGGAGTGGTATATGCACCCTAACGGACAACTTCCGGCTTATGAATGGAACTTCGGTGATGTCAACCCTCCCGTACACGCATGGGCGACTTTCCGGACGTTTAAGATCGAAAGAAAGATGTATGGTCGTGAAGATCTTGATTTCCTGGAAAGGGTATTTCAAAAGCTCCTTCTCAACTTCACCTGGTGGGTGAACCGGAAAGACTTCGACGGGAAGAATGTTTTCGAAGGAGGCTTTCTAGGCTTGGACAATATTGGCCTTTTCAACCGCTCGGAACCTCTGCCCACGGGCGGTGTGCTTGAGCAAGCCGATAGTACTGGATGGATGGCATTCTATTGTCTTTGCATGCTGAATATTGCACTGGAGTTGGCCAAGCACCGCCGCATATATGAGGACATCGCATCAAAGTTCTTCGAACACTTTATTCTCATCAGTGATGCTATGACGTACAAATCCGGTTCAAAAGAGGAGAAATCTTTATGGAATGAGGAAGACGGCTTTTATTATGATGCCATTTCGTGGGGAGGGCCGTGGACGCAACAACTGCCGATCCGCTCTCTTGTCGGGCTGATCCCACTATATGCGACACTCACTCTAGAGCCGGAACTCATCAATAAACTGCCATCCTTTAAGAAGCGTGTTGAGTGGTTCATTGAGAATAGGCACGACGTGGCAGAGCGGAACATGGCCAGCATCAGAAAGAGAGGAAAGGGCAACCGCATTTTACTGTCCCTTGTGAGCAAGGACCGCCTAGAGAAGATTCTGAAGCGCATGTTAGATGAGAATGAGTTCTTCAGTGAGCATGGGATTCGGTCGTTATCAAAATACCATCAGGAGAATCCTGTTTCGATGGATGTAAATGGCCAGATGTTCAAGGTCAGCTATGTACCCGGAGACTCCGACAGTGGACTGTTTGGCGGTAACAGCAACTGGAGAGGTCCCATCTGGCTGTGTGTCAACTTCCTGCTTGTGGAATCTCTGCAGCGATTCTACATGTTCTACGGACCTACGCTGCAGGTTGAATGTCCTACTGGCTCAGGAGACTTCATGCATCTGGGGCACGTATCTGAAGAGATTCAACATCGTTTGCAGCACTTAATGGCACGGGGAGATGACGGTCGTCGAGCTATCAACGACGGAAATGATCTGCTGGACTTTGATCCCTACTGGAAGGATAATCTGTGGTTCTATGAGTTCTTTGATGGTGATACTGGACGAGGACTAGGGGCCACACATCAATGTGGCTGGACAGGGTTGATTGCTAGGATGATTCATGATACTGGGTAGGTCCCCGTTTCGGAGGTGTAGAGGATTGAGACTAACAGAGTAATAGCATTAGCTGCCGCTTGCCACAGACACCCCGAACACCATCCACAGGGATGGCGCATTACTTCGATGATATATTCACACGACACGCGGCCCAAAACAGAACCAACAAGCCTAATCCGAAAATGCGCCGTTCATCAACGACTCGGTCAATAGGTGCTCGCAGTGATTTCGATATGTCTGTGAATGGGGACCACGATGAGGTGCAGTCAATAGAAAACTCAGTAGAGTCCGAGACCGCAGAGAGAGAGCGCGAGCGCCAGGAGGCGGATGCTCATACAGCTAGCTATGTCTCTGAGCAACTGTCCAGAGTGCGTAGTCACCAGTCGGCTGATTTTGAGATTGGTGATGAGTTTGAGGCCCAGCTTGATGGCCAGTGAGCGGGTTTGCAGCTGTGGAAGGAGTGCCGCTTTGTGCACAATTCCTCTAATTTCTTCCGCTGCCTGTATCGCATCCAGCTTCCAGCCTCTTAGAAAGTGAGCATAGACGCTTTGTACCTGCTATACAGCTCCCAACTTAGAGATAAACAATAGACTTTAGGAGTCCTCGAGATTTCTCGCGGACCATCGCGCAAGCAAATTTCCAAGCCATGGCTATGGAATGTATGTTCTTAGCAATTCGGATTCGTCAACCTGGTGATTTATGACCTCAGCACTGCCTTCCCAAATACCTATTTAATCCTAGTAACATAGGAACTGAGCATAACAAGGGCAGTCTGCAGATAAACGGCACCAACCCTTGAAATTAATAGATCGTCAGCGAGCTGGGGGTATGAATATAATCTAAAACTGGCTCCGTGAATCAAGTTCTACGCCAATATTCGAAATTGAAAATTCTCTAATGTTCGAATCATGTACATGTCACCTCTCCTGCATCACACAGTCCCCATAATCTCCCACGAATAAGAAAGGGTACCCAAAGGCTATTTTACAAGGCATCCGTGAGGAGTTTGTTCATCTTCGCAATGCGAGACGAGACACTGAGATCGATTGTTCGATCGCCGATCTCGACGATCAGTCCTCCAAGAATGTCAGAGTTGACCTGGAAATTTGTAAGTAATTGCATAATAAGGCAGGATCTCTCAAAGAAAATACCTTGTTGGTGACCTTAAGCTTCTTTCCTTGACCAACATATTGGGATTTCGAGACGGCCGCCTCAAGTCGAGAGAGCGTCTTGCTATCCAATGCCTGTATCATAAATCCTTGTTAGATAGGCTGTCCCACCATACAGGATCCGACGACCTACCGAAGCACTTGTTACAGTCAGTTCCACCTCGCCCTTCGCTGCACTCATGAGTTCCCCAAACTTCTCGCAAACACCCTGCAGAAGACCCAATCGATTGTAATCCGCAAGCGTGGTCAAGAAATTCTTAATCGTATCGCTCTTGTCCCCGGTGTGCTTTTGTAGCTCGGCAACAATCTGGGATTTGTCCTCGCTAGTCAAGGTTGGTGCGGTCATGATAGTCGCCAGCTTGGGGTCTTTCTGGTATATTTCGCTGATGGCGCTGATTGCTTTTGCTACGGGCTCAAGAGAAGAGCTTTTCACAGCCGCAGTATACTAATTTGCTACCTGTCAGCATTTGCTCCTGCAGCTCAGGAATAGCCATTTGGTCGCCAGGGGACAAAGCGAAGGAGATATCGGCATACGAGAGCACTGGCATAAGTTCCGTCGAGGCCATAGAGCGCGACGGGGGGTTTCGGGTCAGCCGTGGCAGGCGTTGCGTATGACCGGATCTGCGAACTTGCGATGGCTCTGGGGGCCAGAGCTTTCTGAGGTGCAGCAGCCCGGGCGGCACGGAGGATCGTTCGACTCGAGAGCATGATGCCGGTGATCAATTGACGGTTGATGGTGAGGAGAGGAGAGGACAGAAGAGGACAGGAGATGTGATGGGAGCTCGGTCGTTCCGCTTCGTCAATCCGGAGAGAGGTCGGCTAGCGAAGCAAATCCGTGTGATCACGTGGGAGAGAATTACTTCCGGCCCGTCGATGCCTCAGGTGCTAATACCATATTACATAAGGTCGTCAACCTTGCGAAGAAGCCCCCTTTGAAGAGTTGACATGGGAGTGACATGTGGAGGGTCATAAAACTGCTGTTATGGCCGATCTGCACTAGATGGATATCTCATACTGTAACCAGAAGCTACAACACGTATGTCGTACCTAGTTGCGAAGCTCAAGCTCAAACCACCTCAGTGGCCAAAGCGAAGTTCTCAAGAACAATTAGTGTGCATTGCTACCTCTACAGCTGCACATAGGTACACTCTAATGACATTGCTATTCTCTATTGGCTCCTCACTGTTGGCCTTAAGAGACGCGCTTTCCCATGAACTCCACTTGTGATACCAACGCCGAAAACATGCTTATAGCTGCCCCATGCATTTCTAATTTCCTCCATCAATCGCTCCTGAGCATACTGTCAACGAGATCTCCTAGCGGGCCCCAGAAGTCCTTTCCACTGGCGAGGTTGTGCTCATCTATGAAGAGAACATAATGTTTAAAGCTGGTATTGAGATGAGCCTCAAGCCCGAGTTCTCGAATAACGGGATAATGATGACAGTAAATGTGGGCATAGACACGGTACATGCGCTTGAAGACCTGTCGAATCATGCTCGGGAAGGACTTTGGGAACGGGACGCCTGCGAAAGTTAGCATGGGTGGTTTATACTAGGAGACGAAGTAATCACCAATTCTGCTGGGGAAGACTGATTCGTTGTCAATGTTACTCTGAACCCAGCCCATCAGGTGTTCGATATATGTTGGTGCCGGCATTTTTGTAGGCCGTTTGTAGTTCTCGGAGTCCTGCCAGAGATATTCAAACCTGGCTAAGTTAGAATGCCAATGCGGTATATAAAGGCCTGCCAACATACTCATCTGTGGCCTTCATCTCGGGACACGATTGGGGGGAGCAAAACTCGGTGATCGATCCATAGAGCAGATTGATGTGGTTGTAGAAGTCTACCACTAATGAAGTTGTTAGTGTATAAGCTTCGAAAGTGACTAGATCTCCCTACTATTTACAGCGAGCCACTCATTCTCATCCTCTCCTTCTGGAAGTCTCACAATCTTCCGAAGACTACCACCACCAAGGGTGGCCTCTGCGTATTGCCGTAGTTGGTAGCTTGTTGTGCCTTTGGTAGCATTTCGTGGTCGAAACTGATTCCGCGTTCGCTGATTACTGTGGTCATCTTCCTGTGAGCAAGGCGGTACACATGCAGCATGGGGAGTTTGGCTTGGCTGGAACGATCCCGTTGCGTGTGAAGTCGGCTCAAGTAATGTGCAGACGGGACTTGAGACTCTTGCTGTGCGAAGCCTCAAAGACTGCGAAGCAACGACCGCCATCTGGGGGAATATGGGAGAACTGACACTGTGGTGATGAACGAGGTCATCGTGCTGACCTTGGTATGTATGGACGGGCTGAACTGGGCTCCCTCCTGTTCCACGCGTCAGCAGGGCGACAATCAATAATCCCTGCTTGCGAGGACAATTGACGTAGAAGACACGTACTCCTATACACCCTGTAGTAGTAGAGCTCCACGATCTTGAGAGCAGAGGGTGTGAAACTGGAGCGTTGGAATTGGATTCAGATGGACGCCGAAACAAGTTGGTGGTGTTGTTCAGTGTTTACTTCTCCCGCACTGCGTCATGGCCGGTTGGCTCAGTACCTATCAGCGTGGCCTTGGAGGCCTGAGGCATAAACGAAGTGCGAAGCGACCGCGCTCCTTTCAACCTTTGGACTCGCAGCAGGGAAGTTTGGAACCGCTCCCATTCGATCGACAATCGCATATAATTATGTCGGCGGATGCGTCCAAACTGGCCCTGATATTGCTGCATTCATGACCGGCAGCACTGCTCTCCTTCGACCAGAAGGAGCCCTAGGAGCCCAGTCAACGACATGTCGACCCCATTGACCAACATCAGGGTCTTCGTAGAATGGACCGAGCAGACGGTATTTGCTGGCGAGGACATCGAGTGCCAGATAACCTTCAAAAATGTCGCCACAGATCCCGCACCATCGAGGACATCATTACATCCAACTGCTGCCAATGGCTTCGCACCCGGGGGCGAAAAACAGAGGAAAACAGCTGCCCAAGCCAGGAGTAACAACAATACCATGAGTCCAAGTCCACGGCCTCCTCCGCCGATTAGAGGACACCGGACGACTCTGTCACTAAATGCACCAGTCGGCCTTGGGCGATCGCACTCTGGCCCTGGTTCATGGACTGAAGGACATACTAAAGCTTCAAAGGTCGGGAGTGCTCACAAGCGTTCTGTTTCTATCATATCAATTGGGGCCAGCGAAGGAACCGTTGATGATGTTGCAAGCCATGCCAGCACGGTGGACAAACCACGAAGGATGCCGAGGGGACATGGGCGCTCTGCGAGTTTGCAGATAATCTCGCGAAGGCAGGGCATAAATGGAGGTCCGCCACCAGGTAAGTGCTACATTCCCCCCCCGTTTGTTATCTACGACTAAGGGCTAAACTGTTTTAACAGCGCCACTCGGTCAGAGATCCTCAACTCATCCTCCACCTCTTCTTTCGTCCTCAACTTCTCCCGCTGCCATAGATGGAGCCCTACCTGAGAGACCTGCACGGCGCCAAGCTGGAATAGCCACTGCGCCAAGTACACCTGGTCTTGGGCGAGGCCCATTTACAAGGCGAGCTATACCAGCAGTATCCCCACAAGGATTCAAATTCCCCGCTACTTCACTCTCTTCCGCGGATGATCGAGCCCTTGACGTCCCCCGCGTCGAGGGAGTGGATGACAGCGCTCTAGACCAAGATCGTGGTCAAATGCAATCTTCACCATCGAAAGATACAATACCGAGAATTTCCGAACAAACAGTTCCGACTGCGAAGATACTCTCACCAACTAGTATTGCAGGAACCCCTCGAAGCAGTGGAGAATTCTACTCGCTCAGCAATCATTCGACCGAGACTCTAGCATCAGAGTATTTGCCCCAACATGCTGCGAGGACGTCCGCATATGGAGTGCATATGAGACGGCCTTCAAATTTAGCCCCAGTAAATCACCACCGCCCACCAGAGACCTTAATGATGGGCTACGCGCAGATCCATGGATCTTTCACTCTTGACGGTTCTTTGATTAGTCAAGCTCCATTTGAGGAAGTGAAGCGAAAAGGTGCAGTTGGGGAACAAGGAGGGGGTGTGATAGGAATTGAGACCAGCAGAGGAAGTAGTCGTTTACTGCGAGGTTTCGGATGGAGCAACATTGGGGAATCCATTGGCAGTCTTCTGGGAGGCGGGGAGCTTAGCAGTATTAAGGATATGCGAGGTATCGCTAATTCTCGATCGATACCACTGCTCTCGACGCCACAGTCGATTCTGTTTGTCGACCTTCGTCTCGCACCTGGCGAAAGCAGGAGCTACAAGTATTCTTTCAAACTACCCAAAGGTCTGCCACCCAGTCATCGGGGTAAGGCAATCAAAATCTCCTACAGACTGATTATTGGTACACAGAGACCAGGCGGTGCCAAGGAGCAACAAGTGAAGTCCGTGGAAGTGCCATTCCGGATTCTAGGGAGTGTCAACAATCATGGAGAGCTTCTCGGGCATGATCTAATGTCTCCTTACATTATGCTTCGAGATCAAGCCCGCGTGAAATTAATCGAGACCCCGTCCGACACGAGCCTTGAGTCTGCGAAGGATTTAAAGCAGAAAACCACTCCAGAGTTGAGCGACTCAACCTTGACTGGCTTTCTGTCGTACGTCGATGAACTCCTCACAAAAACGCGGCAAAACTCCAATCATGGCCTCCTTTCACCTACGGAAGCACCGATGTCTCGTCGTCAGTCTTCGACAGAAGAGCCTGCTTCTACGGCAAAGGAGGCTATTGATATGGCAATTCTCCGCAGCAATACAGCAACAGAATTCCAACAAAGTGCCAATAGGTTTGAAATTGCCCGTAGCGGACGACGAGTGGCCATAGTCATGCTGCCGAGACCGGCATATCGTCTTGGTGAGACGATCACTGCCACTATCGAGTTCACCAATGCTGAGATTCCATGTTATGCCATTCATGCAACATTGGAAACATCAGAGAAGGTCGATAACTCCATTGCCTTGCGCTCCGAGGCTAGTATACTCCGTGTCACAAGAAAGATTTACGTTTCCCATTCAGAATCAACGCTTTTTGCTCGACGGGTTCTCTTCTCACCGACGATACCAGTCTCGGCTACTCCTGAGTTCGTTACCAGTGGAGTCAGTTTAGAATGGCGCATTAGGATAGAATTTGTCACTCCCCGGCTCTCTAGCGGAGAGAGCGAGATACATGATGAGTACCCCAGCCTCCTTGAAGGGATTTCCGAAGATGATCGAGGGGTAGTTTTAGCCGCGGCAGAGGTTCTTGATTGTGAGAGCTTTGAAATTGCGGTTCCCCTGACGGTGTATGGCGCTTTGGCAGGGAATACGGAGCAGGATGAAGGCCCCCTAGATGGCCTTGTTGTATAAAATAGGGCCAAGCATGTTGGGCATTTTTTGGGCATTTGTTAAATAGAAGCAATCTATGAAGGCTCTTTATGAATATATATCTGGCCTATCGAGCTTCGAGCAGCCCCGTCTTGGTCAAGGCTACGGCCCTCTTTTCTATTTCTTGGGTAAATATAGCAGCGGAGCCGGTTGTGGTATCGTGAGTGCTTCTCAGGAACCGGTCCCTGGTAATTTAAGAGCAGATTGACAGAAAGATCTGAGATATTCATTATGTGACCAAACTATCCCTCCCCCTTTATTCTGATCGGGCGCACATGAAAGTTATAGGCACAGCATTCTAAAGTAGGTCCTACCATCTCTGCTTCTATAGTCCAATGGTAGGGACTTCGTCTCTGGTTACGAAATCAGTGAAATAAATAAACAGAGCTCATATGTTGTTGAAAATTCTAAACCTGATCCATAAGCTTCCTTCCCATATCTACAGGGGTTTACCAAAGACGCCCCCCCCTCAATCCTGTCAGTGCAAACTATACCATATCATCACAGGGGTATGCGCATCGAAAACTCCAAAGCGCCTCCTGCTACGAACCTAACAGGTGGCCGGTAATCAATTACATTATTTTTCCTTTTGAAACCACGGGAATTTCTTCTTCCCAAACTCCATAGCACCACCAGATGAGCTCTCCACCTGCAAGCTGCGTTGGTAGATGTCCTGCGTCCCGTCAGTAATCGACATATCCAAACAGGGAAAAAAAGAGGTCAACGAGATGCATACCTCGTCATCCGCTGGCATCCTGCAATCCAAGATAAGTTCACGAGCAATATCATGTTTCGAAAGGTTCGGATATGGTGCGACTTGGCTTTTCATGATGGGCAGGATGACTTCTGCAAGCACTTCGAACTTCTTCCAGTTGATTCGCTCCCCATTAGTCCCGACAAATGTTCGGCTGCCCTCTTCCGCCGATACCAAATCTCGCCGGTGTAGAGGTATGAAGGGTATACGGGGCAAAGAAGAATTCTCCCACGCTAGACGGTAAGCAAAATGGCTCTTTTGAGTGCTCATCAATAGGACCAGCCGGGCAAACCGTTTCTGAACATCGGCAGGAACAAGTGCGCGAGTTTGAGTAAGGCGATGGATAGCGCTGCTGTTGATACCAGCCAACACTGCGGCCAATCCGTTATAGTTATTCAATTGTCGCAACTTTAGAGCAATCATCATGAATTTTTCTAGCATCAGAGCTCGGTGCTTGGCCTTGTCCCGTATCAAAATCATGTTGGCAACCCATTTTGCAACATGGTTGAAGTGACTGATCATTCGATTGACGTTGGCCAGGCTCTTACATTTCTCCTTCTGTTCCAAGGACAGACTGACGTGGCGCACCAAGTCTCGAAGCCGGATCGATGAAAACATCACCCAGTCAATCCTGGTCATTTCATCTGCAAAGTCGTCATCTGAAGTATCCATAAATATATGATAGCGAAACTTTGTAAGTGGTAGAGTGCCTTTTGGAATCATGGTGGCGGCCTCCCTCTCATAGTCTTCGACGGTGTGGAAAGACGGAGACAATGAATGGGTAGGCGATGCCGGGCGTGCTAAGCTCGTTGAATCCACAGTCGACGACTTGCGTTCCATATCATCCCCAAATTCGTCCATATGTAAGTTAGTAATATCATCTTCAGAATCGTTTCGAGGATTCGTTCTACGTCGCAGGGGAGATGGTGGAGCAGATTCGGCGTTATTCATAGTTTCCTTCTCAAAATCATCATCGGTTCGGGCCCACCCAGTATCATCATCCTGCACAACGCGAGAGTGGAGTTGAGCTCGTATTTCTTGCGCAGCAGCTGCGAAGGCCGGCTCCTTGGCCAAGTGATTAATGAAGTTATTAAGATTCCTGTTCGTCGAGGGACTACCAAAGTCTCCTGGATAGCTCGAAACCCATTTGGCAATTATAGCTATGACGCGGAGCTGGGTAGCAGTTCGTGTGAGATAATGCATGCTCTTGTCGTCTGAAATGCGTTCTAGGCGTGCTAATATCGCGGCAAAGAGTTCGGCAGGAGCAGCGAATTTTCTGTAGAGACAGAGGAAGATGTCGACAAAATTATCATCAGCCCTTGACATGCTTTGGTTAAGAAGTCGGTCAACAAGCTCGTCAAATGTGACACCAGCCACCTTAGACGGCTTGTCAAAAAAGGTATCGTCGTTGCGCTGGAGTATGGGTATATCATCCGAATAGCGGTATACAGAATCCGCATCTGACTCTTCCATATCAAGAAAGGAACTATCTGCAGCTTTGCCGGTGTTGGGAGTTGGCATCGGGTTGTGTGATGGTAGGCTCAGTGCTAGCTTACCAGCCAGATCAGCAGGATCCTGGAATAGATCATCCCTGAACGCTGGGTGTGATGAAAGGGGCGGGGCTTCGAGAGGAGCAGAGGGCGAGGAATGAGGGTGAAGATTGAAACGCCCGCTACCACGTGGCAGCGGAGGTTGACCTTTAGAGGTTTCTAGCGGCGGCGAGGGAAAACCCCCCAGAAGAGAATAATCAGAGCTGGCACGGCTATGCTTCGACTGCTGGCTCGGAGGTCTCAGAGTTTTTGGGTCTGGCGGTTCTTTCAGATTTGCTGAAGAGATTGCTCGACGACGAGGGCCTGATACCTCTACTGGATTGGCTAAAGACAATGTCAGTTGGATTTATCCAAGTTAGATGGCGGGACAGCACGCATTAAACAAAACAGATGCTGCAGTATACGGTAGAATGAAAGCAAAACCTCAAGCTTCGTCCTGCGGGAAAATATTCAAAAGCAAACAGTGGCAAATATTCGCATAGGAGAGACGAGACCGACCATTTCTATACGCCATGATAGCTCTAAGCATGGAAGAAAGACAAAGCCTCGCGCTTTCAGGAACATTTGAAGCTGTCTTTACAGCCTCAACGCAGGAAAGACAGGCCGACTCCATACTCGCGACATCGATTTGGCGAGCATTTTCAGGGTTGTCGCACTTGCAGGAAACAAGGATAGTAGGCAAAGAAGTGTTTACAAGAGCATCTGGAAAGTCAGTATATAAGGCCCTTGGCATTCTCTTCGCATAGCTTTTGGTAGCTCACTTAAAGTTTGAGGCAATTCTGCGATGCTTTCCCTATTCATGACATCGTAGAGCAAGAGAGCACCATCCATATGGGGCACAATTTGTCCATTGACTTGTTTCGGCCATTTAATTCGACCATCGGGGTCTACATCAAAAGATTCGAGTTCGAGTTCGACCAAGGTGACTGTATATACGACATTGTCTACAGACATTCGTAGACTTGAAGCAATCGCCGTGGGCAGACCTCGTAGCCCAAGCGCTCGTTGTATAAGAGTGCTCTTCCCTACACCGGCGCTCCCAATTACCGCAATGTTGATATCCGCCATGTCGCTTCTCGATTGTGTCTATTGTAGAGAGGACACCTCACATCAGCAATCGAAACACTTTCTTGAAGTGGAGGAGAAAGTACTAACTGGCGCGTCCACTGAATTATCCACAGATGGAATCCTGCCTGGCCTTGGATGTAGATCTTTTGGCAAATCTTCAACACGGTGTGTGGCAGATGTCAGCTCGCGGGCCAGCGACGCCCCATGAGGGGATTGGTAGTTCCTGAAGAACGGATCGTCCTTGATCGATGCCACTGAATCGCGCTGGACATTCACATCTAAGGGAGGTTCAGCTTCAAGAGGCTCTGGATCTTTGCTCAATACTGGCACGAGGGGCGCCGAGTTGGCTCGAGCTGCGAGACCCGGTCGCGCGGCGCGTGGTGTTGTGGTGGGGGAAGACGGTGAGGCCGTGGTCGCGAGATGCCCGCGAAAAGAGTCGCTCGATGGGTTCGCGGAACGTATACGCTTGGATTTGCTGCGGGTTGGGAGGTTTCTGGCATCATCCATGACGAGGTTCCAGGGGTTTGGGATTTGGAGTTACAGCGTCAGCCCTGGTCGGGACACCTGGGGGGGCACTCGGGCTCGATACGTTCCCAACACCAACACCCTGTCAAGTGGTCGGCAACTGGCAGCGATAGCAGTGGTGCTGGAGCATACCGGCAGGATGGTGTTTATGAGCAGATCATTGCAGCAGAGGGAGGCATGAAGGGCGTCCGGAGGGAGGCATAATGGGGGAACGAAGGAGGGGAGCGAGGGATGGAGGGAGAGAGGGAGAGGGAGAGGGAGAGGGAGAGAGGGCCGCGGGAGGGTTGAATATAATAAATTTTTAAGAGATATAACC